ATGGACGCCGCGGCCGCGGGAGCGTTGGGAGGTCGTTGGAACTGTCACAGCCCCGCGCCGACCCGAGGTGGGTACTTGTCTCGGCGCTGGCGAGCACCGGGTGCTCAGAGCGGGCTGCGCGTCTGGCGCTTACCCTGGCCGTGAGGCGTGCGGCGGGGCCTTGGCCGCGGAGCGGGGACCTTGGAACCGAGGGCTCCTGCACGCCGGAGCCGCTCTTCTCGTTTCGCCGGGGAGGGTGACGCCGTGGGTCGACCCGCGCGAGGCGTGTGGCCCCTGGGCGCCGGCAGTGAGCCTGTGAGGGCCAGGTGGCCCTTTGCCCTCGGGCCCTGGGCACCCCACGGCGCCGGCGAGAGGCCGGCGAGGACTCCTGCCCGGACGGAGTTGCGGTTCCCGTGGTTGTGCGTCCTTCGAGCGAAGTTCGCGCTGCGGGGGCGTGTGTCTCCGCGGAGAAAAGGGAACTCTGTGGGTGATCAGTCGTTAACGAGTCTCATGTTTCCAGAGGAGCAGACCTTTCCTTTACGGACCTTGAGACCCGGGACACCGAACGACTTGCTTTGACCTTGGAGGAAAGACATTTTGCGGGTGCCTCGCTTCCCTCCTCATGCGCGCTTTCAGGGCGAAGGCCCCCCCGCGCCCCGGCTCGGGGGTGGCCGCGCGGCGGCCGCACGCTCTCCCCCCGCAGCCTTGAACTCAAGCTCCGTCCGTGGAGTTTGCCGTCCCTCCCGGCGCTCTCGGCGGCGCCGCCTCCTGCCCGGTTAAGCCGGGCTGCGTTTCCTCCGCGCCGCCCTGCCGGCTGCCGGGACGGGTCTCCGGCCGGAGCTGGGAAGCGTCGTTTCCCCCGTGGGACGCGAGACCTGCAGGCGCACCGCCTCCAGCAGAGGCTCGCACTCGGAAAGCCTCCATTTTACACCATCAGGCACCCTGCGAGATGCGTTCAGCCGAGTGCCGTTGGTCTTGCCCCAGACGTTGGAACGAGACCGACCTGTGTCGGTAAAACAGTGCCACTGCTCTCTTTCGGTCCAGCCAGGAGGAAAAGCTGGAATGTGCGTAGCATCGCTTAGGGTGGAGGTGGCTTGGGGAACAGTTTCCAAGTCGGAGGGTTTGGCTGCTGACGTTGGGATCGGGGCCTGGGAAGTCGGGGCAGGGTTTTACAATAGCTGCGATTATGAGATGTAACTCTTTATCTGCTTGAGACTGTATGTCGAAGGCCTTGGTGGGTCTGTGGTGCTTTGAGATCCTCTGATTAAAGGTGATATGCAAGGGCAAAGCAGCCTTATGTAATAAACATGTAATGCCCGGTGCTGTTTCTGAGTGGGTGCTGAGGTTGGCACCGGTTCGATTGTTCTGAGGACTTTTTATGCCTTGCTTTCTGGCTGCTCAGCTCGTTGGAAGTTACGGTTGTCTTCTTTGTTAGAGCATTTTAAACCCTCATTTGCTTAAGTGCCTTTATTTGATAAGAGCCTCGAATTCTCTACGTTTTGAAATACGATAAATATTGGTTAGAAGTTGTCGCTGAAGTGTTTCATATTTGCTAAACTCTTCATGCTAGTAATTGACAATTGATTTTAGTTTACATTCATGATTTGCAATGAGAACAGTTTTCCGCTCCGAATCTGGAAAAGCCCGTGTCACCACTCCCACGCCTTTCCACAAACTTGCACTTTCCTTGCAGCAGAACTCCAGATTGATCTGGATATATACCGTTACAATCCACTAAACTTGGAAGGTTGAGTTCTACATTTTTGCTATGTGAAATGCTAAGCTTCGGAGTGGACAGTTTGTGCCATTTAGAAACAAACGTTTCGCTGTTTTACGTTTTAATGGTGTTTGTCAGTGGGAGATGGGATGGGGTCGTGAGGTTATCACCCCCCCCACCATCATGTTTTCATCTGAGATCATTCATTCTTGAGCTACAGTAATTGCTAAATCAATTGATGTTTTTGGTAAAGTGTTCTTATGGCTACGATTATGACTCACTTTAAAATCGATTTTTTAGCATTGGTTTTTTTGTTTTGTAAATAGAGCTCAAATTTAAAATTTATTTTTAAACATCCAATACATTTTTGTGTTTCCTATAAGGAGTCTAATTTTTTTTTGTAATCCAAACGTTATCCGTTTTTTGGAGGGGTGAGTGGCAACCCTAAGAATAGGTTTACTGCACTCATTAAAATTTGCAGTTGGTACTTTTATTACATTCTGTAATATATGTGTCCTATAAATATTACAAGTGTGTTTACATGAAATATTGGTTTTTCTGTTGCCAAGCGTGATTCATTTTGAACTAGATTTACTAACATCTCAGTGTAGCAACTTTTTTGTGGAAGAAAGTCTGAAAACAACAGAATATCATTCTGATATATTTAAGTGATTCATTTTCTTTATTTTTCAGCCAGTATCATAGTTTATGATGGGGCAATATTCATTGTTTATAATTGCAGCATGACCTATGTTAACAACTGTAGGTTTCTTGCAAGAAAATATTTACTGCCTGTGTTAGTAGTAAGGCCTAAGACTGGTAGTCATGGTAATTTTGCTGTCTGGATTGGCAGAGTTATCAAGAAATATATCCTTATATTTATAAAAGCATTATATACAACAGTTAGGCTACTATTTATAGCTTTGGAGTAAGATTATACTTCATGATATCTATTACATTGAAAACTCCACCTGAGAGAGAAATTGGCAGTAAGAATAATTACAAAAATAAATTAAAGAATATATATAAAGAAATAAAAAAGCTGTTTTGGTATCTGGAACATTTTAGTTGATAAAACAGTTAAAGAAAAGCCCTGTGTCTTGAACAACTATTAATGTAGAAATTGTAGCTGATATAACACTTTGTAGTAGGTGTTAAATGAGATAATGACAATTCAAGTTTTCCCAGTGTATTTTATGTGCTTAATGGATATTTTTATTGTAATTTTTGTTATATCGCTTCTATTCATGGACTTATTGGAGCCCTCTTGTGGACAGGAAATTACTAAAGTGAATTTCCTTTCAAAGTGAACTTCCATCACTTTTCCAAGTTGAGGTAAAATGACAGATGTAGAATATGCCAAAGAAAAATGCCATGCTAGAAAAAGATCCAGAAACGGGGAATTTTTGACATTCAGTAAAGTATGCTGAGATTTAATGCCGAAGGATTTTCTTTCTTATAGTTCCTTGTCATTTTTCTTTCTCTTGCTATGATTGTTTCAAGTTTAAGTTGGAAGGTTTTATGCAGCTAAAAGGTAGACAAATATCATATTTATGTGTGTGATTTGAATAACTTAATAAATAACATATCTCTAATAGATGTTTCTCTGAATGTTTTACTTGAATGTGCCTTCTATTTGGTGTGTTGAAGTAAACATTTTTATTAAGAAAACAAATGACAAATTATTTCCACCAGCTTGGAATGTCTTCTCCTTTTTAGCTCTAAATCCTACCCCGTATCATGGCTGTGGAATGGTCTAATTTAGTTCATTATAGGCCACAGTGATCATTCCTTCCTGTGAACCATTTTCTTTCAGTGCATTTGATATTCTTCTTCTTACACAGGTATCATTTATATGGATATAAGTATCTTATAGTTATTCCATCTCCCATAGTTCTTTTTTTTTTTTGAGACAGGGTCTCACTTTGTTGCCCATGCTGGAGTGCAGTGGTGTGATGACAGCTCACTGCAGGCTTGACCTCCTGGGCTCAAGCAGTCCTCTTGCCTCAGCCTCTGGAGTAGCTAGGACTATGGCATGCCCCCACACTCAGCTGATTTGTTTAATTTTTAACTTTTGTGGAGAAGAGGGTCTCATTATGTTGCCCAGGCGGGTCTTGAACTCAAGGCATCCTCCTGCTTTGGCCTCCATGAATTACAGGTGTGAGCCACCATGCACAATCTTATAGTTCCTTTCACAAGTACTTTTTAAAAGAAGACTCTGTGATACTGTGTATTGAGATGGGGAGCAGAGATTTACTGTCAGAAGTGTTGGAACTCAAAGATGAGTTACACATTTTTATTAGAAGAGAATTCTATTTGCTGATCTTACCTAGGATGACGGGAGGCTGTCAGTAGTATGCTCCCTAGCAGGTATTTTTGAGAAAACAGTCACTAAGTTGTCACTTCAAGGCACAATTGACATTGTAAACAGCGAGAAAGTACCTGCTTTTCAGAAGAAGCTAATGTTTTGGAGAGAACATTTTGAAAGCATGTTTAGATATTTCCAATCTGTTGAAGAATCTTACTTATAAAGATTTCAGTGGACTTTGGTCCCATTTATTGGAAATACAAAAAGCCAGACATTCTCCTTAGTTTGTAAAGATATCTGACTGATATCAGGAAAACTGAAACTTTAATAATATTGACAGCAGGTGGCTGATTTTTAACAAAAACTTTTGCATGCTTGGTGATAGGATGAAGAAGTAATACTATTACTGAGTATGTTAGTAAGTGACATTTTTCTATGTAGATCTGTGCATATTTGTGAGCTAGGTTTTTCAGTTATGAGTTATGACAGCTCTTAAAACCAAGAGTCAAAATACATTGAACTTCACAGACTGGGAAACCAAGATTTAAAAAAATAAAAAGGCATATTCAGTAACATTGCTGTCACTTAATGTGTTAATAGGAATAGTATTTTTAGTGATTGCGAGATTAAAGCAATATTTTAAATAGTTAATAGTTAA